CAGCAGGACCCAGATGGACACCATGCCATGGATGCCCGCAGATATTCATCGGCTACATCTCATTTTAGTGGAGTGCACATGAACACACTTCCGAAGTAATGAACACAGAATTAGTTGGACTCTATCAACAGGGGTTTAAGCCTAGGTGGAGGGGGAGCCAGGAATTATAATAAAGGATGTTGTAATTGTCATTCCTCCCAAATGAGTCAAAGCTGCTTTGATAAGTCGAACAACCCTACGTTGTTTTTCAGCTAGCGTGAGATCCATAGTGAAGGGCATAAGTACCCACCAGGATTCCTTTTCTCCCATCATAGGTGAATACACAACACCCGTAAAAGACACAGAAGCAGACAGGCAGCACAAAGGGAGTGATGGGAAGCTACGAGGACGATCAAAAAGAAGTAATGAGCCCTCTCCGACAGCTGACACTGAAATTGAGGTAAGAGACTGGGGTGTGTGTTCATCTTCCTCCTCCTTGCTTTGTGGTGGAATAAATCCAAGGTGAGAATGACTTTAGGAAGTGAGGGAAATTGTTCTCATAGCAGGAGGGAAGCATTGGAACCAACCTAATATAAATACCGGGTCGTCTGTTTCCTTTCCGGTTCAAGATCTATCTTTCCAAACCCACTTTTTCCTTAACTTGTGATTAGAATGTGAGAGCCAGTGTGATGTCGTGGGTGGAGTGCCGGCCTAGGATCCAGGACAACTGGGTTCAGAGCCTACCTCTGCCATGGAAACTCACCAGGCCCATCACAGGCCCTCAGCCTAACCTCCTCACAGGGCTGTTGTGAGGATAGGTGGATCAGGGGAGAGTGATGTGACAAGCTGCTTTTGAGTCCCTGTTGGGGAGAGAAGCAGAACAAAAAAAAACCCCATAAATAAAATCTTTTGACCTTTGTTGATTTTGTGAATACTCTAAGCTGTCTTATACTGAATCAAACTCTTGGTCCATCAAGGTCAGTATTCTCTACTCAGACTGGCAATGTCTCTCCAGGGTCCCAGGCAGAGGTCTTTCACGTGACCAAGTATCTGAGCCTTAACTGAGCCTTAACCTACTGGGAATTTAACCTTGGACTTTTGCATGCCACGCAGATGCTCTTATCACTGAGCCACAGCCCCTCTCTGAATTTGTTTGCTTTGTTTTCTGTTAGCGTGATGTGTCCCTAAGAGTTTCTTTGTTATTCCCTTTGCATAATATTTGAGCCATACTTACGCCAACTATAGTTGTCCAATCAAATATTTCACTCTTCTCTACTCCTCTACAGCGCGTGTTTGTGTGGGACTTGGATGAGACGATAATTATTTTTCACTCCTTGCTCACAGGAACCTTTGCCTCCAGATATGGGAAGGTAAGTTGAGTTTGTATGGGTTTTTCTTCCTCAGCATTACTGTTCATCCCCCCAGAATGCATTGGGGATTGTACAGGCAGCTAATACAGCAGATTTTCAGACAGATGTTGCTCATTTTCTTAAGAACATATTTAATATAGCCCAGTGGCACTTCGCTCAGACATGTGAAAATCTAATTACCATCCCATCTTATTGCCTGTAGCCCACATTCCTCAAAGGAGTGTATTGTTCGGCATCTGCTAGGTAGGACAGTGGACTGTTTTTCTTGTTGAGACCTTTGTCTGGAAAAAATAGGAACAAGTTTATTAACAGACATGATGCAAGAACCTCCAGCCTGGGTGGAAGTACCATATTTTAAAACTAAGAGGCTGAGTTTTTGTTTTGCACATTTTCTCTGATAAGGTTTGTCTGTGAAACAATAATGGTTTCTGCTGCTGCACTGTACTGCTTCAGTGTGTGGGGACACTGAATATTTGAATGTTCTCGTGCATTTAAAAAAATCCCAAAGTTATCACTTGCACATTCAGCCCTAACCCTTCTTGGAGAATACAGGACTAGATCCCTTCTCCCTGACATATAAGTTTTCAGTGTGCAGTGATATAAACATTCAGTGTCCTGACTGTATCTTTTGTGGTACAGCCCTGCAACTAATACATGAGGTCAGATCCCATAGTCTATGAGAAGGATGGAGAACCTTTCCTGTCTTCCCCTCTGCCCCAGCAGTACTATCCAGTCCCAGGAAATCTGTTTATTTACTTCACATAGCCTGCCTTTCTCACTGAGAGTCAAGGCAGGTGTGGAATAATAGCCACACAAGTAGGAAACTGCATTGAGGAAGATAAAGGGAGCAAGATCGCTTTCCTCTTCTCTCAGTTCCCCGAACAGCACTAACTACACATGAGTCTCACAACTCCAGAAATTGGGGCAAGGTAACAGTTCTTTCTGCTGCATCCAATCCATTACTAGGCTTTTAATACATGGCCAAAGATGAAAACTTTTATTTATTGGGATTGGCAGATGTATATATTTGGTGCATGAATTCCAGAAGCAACCTAAGAGATTTGCACAAACTTGAGTCTTGTGGTTCTCTTTGTTTTTCAGACTTATAGACAGTTTCAAAACTGTTAAGACTTTCATGGCTGTTTTTCAGAGAGCTCTGAAAAACATGGCTATTTAAGGGAGATAAACAAGGAGTCTCAAAACAAAATTAAAACCTGTTTCCAAGTGGTGTATATTTTAGATGTAGCTTTGGCCAATTTCTCTGCTCCGTTTGAAGAACAGAAACATTAGCTGCATTGACACAACATGCTAAACCATGGTTTGTGCAACCCTCTGTGGTTAGCCTACCAGACATAAATAACAAATCTTGGTTTGTATGTCAACCCAGCCTGCTTGCAGCTGAACTCCTCTTCTGTCTCCCAACATGAAGCAAATTCACCCTCAACTGTTTTTTTGTGACTGCAAACTTTGTTGTGTGAATTAAGATACTATAGGAAACCATGGTTAGTATGAACTCTGATTAACAAAGCAGCTACCAACCCTAGTTTGAAATCCTAGTTTGGTACCACTTAGCAAATCCCTGATGTTGGACTCTCTGTGTTCTAGCTGTCACGGCTATCCAGGGTTTGACCAAACCCTGATTTATCATGATACCTGAATGCAGCTAGTGTGATTCTTTATCCAAGATCCCATATGCTGTTAGAAAACAGTTGTCCTTATACACAAGCCCAGAGGTGTTGTTTCTTTGCAAGCTCCAGAGCAGTATTTAATAGACTGCATCCCATCACCACTGCAGAATTTATGAAGTGCCAGGTTTTAACTTTGTTCCATGGTTTTCCATTTATTTATTCATTTATTTGCCATATTTGTAGGTCACTTTTCAACAGAGCACCATTTGCAAGGCGGTCATAAAAAAGTATTAATAAAAGTAATAAGTAATTAAGTAACAAAAGTAATTAAGCGATAAAAAATTATAAACGTCATAAAAACAGCGAGAGTCTCCACTGATTCCTCAGTGCCCAAGAGAATGGAAGTCAAACAAGTTCAGAGCTGCTTTGTGTTAGATCAAGTTTAAGCACTTTAATATGGAGGGGAAGAGGATGCATTTGCTGTTTCTTAGATCAGCTTGGGAACCCTTTGAACAGCCTCGAACTCAGCCACAGGAATATGACTTGACATCATTTTATGACTCTACCAGCTGGGCTTGGGTTCATGATGCTTACAACAACCCAGGCGTGCAATTAGAAAGATAGATTTATTGTCTGACAATAGATGTGTATGCATATGAAAAGATATAACAGGCTTGTGGTGTAGGCACCCGCTGAATTGTTTTGGAATGCTGGTCAGGGTTCCCGTGTCTTCCTGTGAAAAGAAGGCATGCGTTCCCGAGGGCAGGAATAGATGCAGAAGTTTGCCTAATTGAAGCTACAGCTCTTGCTACTTGCCCTAATTGGGCAAGGACCCTCATTTTTAGCTTGCGACTGATCTAATGGTTACAATTGTCATCTTAGGAGTAAAAGCAATTTTCGAAGCTTGTATCTGGCAATAGCAACTTTTGAGAAGGCTACGGCTTATCCAGATCATTGCATTCACATGAGAGGACTGCAAAAATTTGCAAAAAGCAGCTCATCTGTGATCTCTAGAAGGTGTATCCATACCAGCTTGTTTCCAGGGGTGTATCCTGGCAACAGCTGAAGCTCTTTGAAGGGGGGGGGCATCATTGTTCAGTGATCCGCTTCTGAGTTGATTGTAAGGAAATGCGTTGGGGGGGGCAGTGCCAAGAAGGGACAAATTGTGTATTCCATCCCTAGGTAGACATTGCCGAAACACATAGTTACTGTCATAGAATCATTGAGTTGGAAGGGATCTCTGAGGTCATCTAGTCCAACCCCCTGCACAATGCAGGAAATTCACAGATACCCCCCACACCCCCAGTGACCCTTGTTCCACTCCCAAATGACAAAAAAAACCCTCCAGGATCTCCAGCCAAACTGGCCTGGATAAAAATTGCTTCCTGGCCCCAAAGTGGCAATCATAATTTCCCTGGGCATGCAAGAAAGGGCCACAAGAACTAAGCACTGAGGCAACCCTTCCTGCAGCCTCCCTCTCATGATCTGCCTCACAGAATCAGCATTGCTGTCAGAAGGCCATATAGCCTCTGTTTGAAAACCTCCATAGAAGGAGATATCTGTTCAGGAGGGCACCAGCCTCCCACTTAAAATAACCATTCCTTACTTGCAGATGAGCTACGCCTCTTAATGGTCTATCAAATAAGCGAGTGGTGTTTGAAGCAGCAAAAGGAAAGGTTATTTATTTCGATATTTATATCCTGCTTTTCTCTTCAGTGGGAACCCAGAGTGGCTTACAACATCATTTCCCACTCCTGCATTTTATCCTTACAACAACAACCCTGTGAGGCAGGTTAGGCTGT